TGATACTCCTTTAACGTAGACTAGCGTGAGCCAGCATGAATGAAAGGTCAACCAGCGTGGTGTACTTGGGCCAGACATGGTAAAAAAGAACCATTCTTTTGTTTAAAAATCTTTTCCACTGAATCCTAAATGTTTGAGGTAGATATTAAGCGTTTCGTGTCGCACACTGTTCCAGCCTCTTTGTGTAACACGTATTTCTAAAAAAATGTTATCCTTGTATAATCTTATTCTTTTTCTTGTGTTCACTTTCTGATTTACACTGACAGACAGGATCTTGTGATAAACTTGACTGTGTTTATGAGTTCCTTTTTAGTTCCATACAACCTATGTGCAGTATAATCTAAGTTTTGTGTTCAAATTCCCAGAATACGCATCAAGACCCGACCCCATCCATTCTTTAGTAATACAAGAAGTACGTCGTTCCGGAATCTATCACCGATATTTCTATACGGTTCACTGCCGTCGTCATAACAACCAGCGCTTCTCTGTACTTCCGGTTTTCTGAAGATTTATCTAAGAGAGACTAGAGAAGTTTGGAGGTTCGTTTCTGCTCTTTTCATTATTTAAAAATCTCCTGTGTATTATAAAATACGTATAAATCATTTCTACGGTAGGAAAATTAGTAAAATAGTCACCTTCATAAGTTCGGTTTTTACGGCCAATTAACGATGTTAGTACTGAGTAACGACGTTTGGCTTGCTGGAGTTTGCATTTGTTTACTTTCATTTTGTTTTCATTTTTCACGCATTTTGAGTTTTATAAATTTCAGAAACTGATTCCCTGCTTTAGTTTCTGGAATACCGATTAAAGAATTCAAACCAAATGCTATACAAATGTAACCAAAGGTTCTAATAACGAACTAGAACATCTCTGGGCACATTCACAACGACAACAACATCACATGTGTCCCAATCATTTGGGAGGGAACCCACTCTCTCTAAGCTCCGCATTATTAATTACAATTAAAATATAACATTCTTATTAATATTATTAACGATATAATCTTCAATACAAGTAGTAGTAAAAAACTACAAATATTCATAAACAAGTAACTGCACAGAAAATAAGGAAGGGACATAACTCCCATAACTCCCACTAAGCCGGCCGACGCCGTCTAGCTTGCCGGCCAAATCTGTTAGGAGAGCCAATAAAAATAATCAATAATGTAGACCTTGGGAAAGAACTTAGCAAATTCCGATGAATCAAAAGGTGGAGAAAAGACACTGGCGTTAAATAGGACACACGTTGAGAAAACCAGAGAATAATACAACTAAATTGTCTTTGCACTTGGACCCAACGGCTATATACATAATGACCCTTTTCCATACCTTCATGTATATTGCATAAATTGTGCTAGAACTATATTTTCTAGACCAATCAGCACTCGCTGTGTGATGTGGTCAACATCATGCCGGCTGCCTTTACTTCCCAGGAGACTTTCCTCAGTACCTCTTTAACTCCTTCAGTCCCAAAGAATGCATCATATGTTTATAGGTTCCTGTCTAGAAGCCCAATGAACACAAGATGCACAGAGTTTACATCTCTTTTGACCATCCCTTGATTCTCTGATGTTAAACCCCCTGGGACTCAGCAGAGAGTTTAGGCTAGGTGGACCTAGGAGCCAAGGTCATTTTAAAAAATAAATTCAGGCTCTGTTTGGAGTTGAACCTGCGACCTTTGGATTCGCAGAGAGAGTCTAGCCGCTACACTACAGTGGATCCACATATAAATAAGGGCAGACCCCTCTCCCCCCCCCTTCCCAAAAATACAAATGAAGAAGGAAGTTAACAAGATAAAGTGGAATGAGAGAAACTGTTTACAAAAGAAAATGTTCAGATGACTTGGCGGGAACTGGTCGAGGGCCTATGCTCCATTGGAGGACAAAGGAAAAAGAAGCAGAAAATTTATCAGTGACCTGTTAAAACTATTTTTTTTTTTTTAATTTAGGATTTTTTTGGGGGGGGGGGGGGATTTTTATGAATTATGATCTGTTTTGGTTAGCTTTACTGAAGCAAGAAGGTTGAATGAGGTCATATTAACAGGGTTTTACTGTGAGTCAAAATATGTTGAAATGAATTAAATTGTTAGGAGAAAAATAAAGTCACCCACGTAAATAACTTTAACTGAAGTGTTACTGACTATCACACTGTAACAAATTTCAAACTGTAGCAGTTTCAAAATGTAACAAACAGTTGCAGTGTAACAAATTGTTTGAATGTTTATTGTGCTTCATTTTATGTTGATGTAACTCTGGAGTAGCGTACCTGATGAGGTACAGTGAGATATGCCTGGCAATAAATTGTGCAATGTATGGTTTGTGTCCGCATTATTTAAATTCATTATGGAAAACACTATTTTTAATTAGATTAAGTTAAGAACCAGAAGCACTGCACTTAAGATGTTCCCATGTTCAAAGATAGGTGCTCTATCCACATCTTCACAGATAGGTGCTCTATCCACATATTCACAGATAGGTGCTCTTTCCACATCTTCACAGATAAGTGCTCTATCCACATCTTCACAGATAAGTGCTCTATCCACATCTTCACAGATAGGTGCTCTATCCCCATTTCACAAATAGGTGCTCTTTCCACATTTTCACAGATAGGTGCTCTATCCACATCTTCACAGATAGGTGCTCTATCCACATCTTCACAGATAAGGGATCTATCCACATCTTCACAGATAGGTGCTCTATCCACATCTTCACAGATAGGTGCTCTATCCACATTTTCACAGATAGGTGCTCTATCCACATCTTCACAGATAGGTGCTCTATCCACATTTTCACAGATAGGTGCTCCATCCACATCTTCACAGATAGGTGCTCTATCCACATCTTCACAGTTAGGTGCTCTATCCCCATCTTCACAGATAGGTGCTCTTTCCGCATCTTCACAGATAGGTGCTCTTTCCACATCTTTACAGATAGGTGCTCCATCCACAACTTCACAGATAGGTGCTCTATCCACATCTTTACAGATAGGTGCTCTATCCCTTTCTTCACAGATAGGTGCTCTATCCACATCTTCACAGATAGGTGCTCTATCCACATCTTCACAGATAGGTGCTCTATTCACATCTTCACAGATAGGTGCTCTATCCACATCTTCACAGATAGGTGCTCTATCCACATCTTCACAGATAGGTCCTCTATCCACATCTTCACAGATAGGTGCTCTATCCACATCTTCACAGATAGGTCCTCTATCCACATCTTCACAGATAAGTGTTCTATCCCCATCTTCACAGATAGGTGCTCTATCCCCATCTTCACAGATAGGTCCTCTATCCACATCTTCACAGATAGGTGCTCTATCCACATCTTCACAGATAGGTCCTCTATCCACATCTTCACAGATAAGTGTTCTATCCCCATCTTCACAGATAGGTGCTCTATCCACATCTTCACAGATAAGTGTCCTATCCACATCTTCACAGATAGGTGCTCTATCCACATCTTCACAGATAGGTGCTCTATCCACATCTTCACAGATAAGTGTCCTATCCACATCTTCACAGATAGGTGCTCTATCCACATCTTCACAGATAGGTGCTCTATCCACATCTTCACAGATAGGTGCTATATCTTCATCTTCACAGATAAGTGCTTTATCCCCATCTTCACAGCCAGCACAGTTCCAACTCTGATGGTAAATGTAGGAGCCTGATTGTATTGATGCCATTCTTTTCTCCATTGAATGTTGACCATATCTTCCACTCACTCCTTCAATAGATGAATCACCTGTTATACTTGTCATAATGTTATATTGTATGCTTCTTCAGTGGCATATCGTCTCCTCAGTGTGCTGACCGGCTGCTAGGGGTTTTTCATATATAAGACATAGATGACATTCTGAATGCACACAGATGGTAACAAGTAGATGATATCCGGTTATATTCTTTATTACACTTTCACAGTTAATCTGGTCCAGTCAGTGCTTACACTAGCAGGTCCAACAAGAGATGATAACATTTATCAAGTACAGATTCGACATCTTCTAACATCCATACTCGTTACCTTTCAGTCCTGTTTCATTACACACACAATACACACAATGGTTGCTCCAGCATCTCTGATCATCTCCTTGGCTGATTGGAACTCTTCGGCTACCACTTCTGGTTAGGCTGTTATCAGGTTGTCATCTGGCTGTCCTCTCATGGAACAGAATCTCCTTCACGTCTTCAGTTATACAATATCACATTTACTCGTCTATTGAATACGACCTTTCACACCAGCTGTCAAACACGTACTAACTGATCAGACCTTGGTCTTAACTTATACCTCTCGTTCTGGGTTTCACGTGCTGGTTTGAGCCTTGTTCGTATATCTCATGTTTCCACGAGTATTCACATTCTCATGTATTTCTCTCTTATCCCATGTTTACTCCTATATCTCATGTTTCCACGAGTATTCACATTCTCATGTATTTCTCTCTTATCCCATGTTTACTCCTATATCTCATGTTTCCACGAGTATTCACATTCTCATGTATTTCTCTCTTATCCCATGTTTACTCCTATATCTCATGTTTCCACGAGTATTCACATTCTCATGTATTTCTCTCTTATCCCATGTTTACTCCTATATCTCATGTTTCCACGAGTATTCACATTCTCATGTATTTCTCTCTTATCCCATGTTTACTCCTATATCTCATGTTTCCACGAGTATTCACATTCTCATGTATTTCTCTCTTATCCCATGTTTACTCCTATATCTCATGTTTCCACGAGTATTCACATTCTCATGTATTTCTCTCTTATCCCATGTTTACTCCTATATCTCATGTTTCCACGAGTATTCACATTCTCATGTATTTCTCTCTTATCCCATGTTTACTCCTATATCTCATGTTTCCACGAGTATTCACATTCTCATGTATTTCTCTCTTATCCCATGTTTACTCCTTTATTATTGTTTAGAGAATCCCTGTGGGAAAATACCAACATTACATTCAATTTGTTGAATTCATCTTTTTGTGTGTGCAGAAGTCAAAATGTCAGACATAAATTCAACATTACACATATTTGAGATTGTTTGTGAGGATATGTCACTGGAGAAACCAACATACATCCACAAAATGTTGCTGCGAGAAAAGGAAAAGTCAGCCACGTAAGTAATTAATTTACCTCAAATGTTATTGATTGTCACACTATTAAAACAAATTTCATACTGTAACAAACAAACAGGTGAAATGTAACACATTGTTTGAATGTTTTTAGCATGTATCATTCTGCCACAAGCACAGATTGATCTTAACATCCCCTTTTAGCCTACAGACATGACCGTAGCCTCAAGGACATTCTAGTCAAAAGCTGGTTACATCTTACATCTAAGTCCCACTTAGACAGTCTCTTGTCATAGACCTATGTGTAAGACTTGTCCCTATGTGGTTCAGGCTGACAGTCTATGCGAGGCATTCTTTTGCACGAGTGGCAGTGTTATTTATGCCATGATCTGCAAAAGATGTAGTAGGAAATACGTCTGTGAGATGGGGCTATGACTAGCTGACAGGTTCAAGCAACGTCTTTCTGATGTGCAGAACTGGGCCCTTAATTTCATTTCTCTGGATCATCAAAGTGTCCTCATTGTAGAGGTTATGACCATCAAATCTAGCCACTCAAATGACAAACTCCATAAGTCTCTTGAAAACCACCTCATCTATATCATAGGCACCAATTCACCTAGGGTGCTTAACACCCTAACAATTTTTATCTAATATCTTTGAGTTATGGCCCTTGTTGCTCATGACCTTCTTGTGGTCAGTATTTATTTCCAGTCAGCATCTGTGGCTAAAGCGTTGCGAATACACTTTGTAAGGCCAGGGTGCCAAGTTCAATCCCAGCTGCGGGCCTTGCGCCTTGCATTGGTTTCCACAGTGGTATCGAGAAGCCGACGGTCCAGAAAGCAATGGCAGACTACTGGACGTAAACTTGCCTAGAAAAATCACAATAGCCAAAAAAATGCTGGGGTTGGTTCTGCAACGTCCTGTAAAGGATACACAACTATCTTTTATTTATTTCCAGTGGCCACACATGTGTCAGATATTCTGCTGACCAGAGGTGTGATTTCTATTCAGCTCAGTTGGGTGATTGTGTCTGTTTTTACTCACATTTGTAGTATTGTCATGTGCCGATGAAGGCTTTTTAGCTGCAGTATCCACTTGTCATTTGTGATATTGTAAAGCAGACAGGTTTTTACTTCTCTCTTGTTTCTTGTTTCCTAAGTGTGTAATAAAAGTTGATGGTGTTATTTTAGGACAAGTACAGAAATTTAAGTATCTGGGCACATGGATAACATCAGATGGAAGATGCATAACTGAGATAAGAAACAGAATAGGACAGGCAAAAACTGCATTTTATAAAATGAAAAACATCTTGTGCAATATATCCTTGTTATTGAGAGTTAGAAAAAGAATTGCTTGCTTGCTACATACATCTAGTTTTAACAAATGGCTGTGAATCCTGGACAATCGGTAGGCAGGCCAAACAATTTCTAGAGGCCTCAGCAAAAAAAGAGCAACCAAGAGGTTTTGAAAGAGGCAGGAGCCTAAAGACAACTTATCACAGACATCAGAAGGAGACAGTCATCATTTTTCGGCCATGTTATGAGAAGAGGAAAAATAGAACATGTTGTGACCACTGGAAAGATCTGTGGAAGGAAGGATAGAGGAAGACAAAGAGAGAAGATGCTTGACAGTCTTGTTGCATGGCATGGAAGTGTGTCAGCACACAAACTGATACATGCTGCAGGAGATCGCAGATTATGGAGAGGCATGATCGCCCACGCTAGTCGTCAAGGCACCTGATGATGATGATGCTTGTTTCATATCTTTTCTATTCGATGTCTGCACATTTGGATCATCATCAGTAGTTTAGAGATTAGGCTCTTGGATGAGATTCTCCTGATCTGGAAAGAGACTGGACTGTTGTAGAGATATCTGAGTGCAGTGAAAGTGATTTTCATTAACCAGACATTGTTTGTTCATAAAATGTGTAACTTTAACTCTTTCGCCACCAAAAAACACACCATGTGCAGTTACACTTATTCATGAGAACCAGTAAACTGTTTATGTTTGTTTCTGCATTTTATTTTCAATCAGGATGTACTAAAGCATGCAACAACAAACATGTCTCCTACAAGTTGGCATGTGTTTCTTCTTCATCATCTTTTCATTCATCCAAGTGACGTAATATCTTGTTTACAGCATAGCTGCATAATATATGCCTTTTGGCCGACACATCTGACTTCATTGGGCGTTTGTTCACCAGGTTAGCCTTCCTGGACAGTTTTGGGGGAGATGACATAGCCTTTACTTGTGTGATGTCTTCTTTGCTCCTTAATCTACAGGTGTTGTGTTTGGACAACCCATCCAGGGAGACCACATGTCGACTGGTCAGCCCCCATTTGAAGGCAGGGGTTATGTATTTGTTCCTTGTGGATGTAGTAGGTCTATACTTTTGTTGCTGTTGCATTTGCCTTATTTGGGCATCAGCTTTGACCTTCTGGTACAAAAAGGTTAATAATTTATGACGGAGACTGTTTTAATTTGGAGTAACTATGTCTCGGGGAGTCGCCGTAGCGGAGTGGCTAAACGCTCGCCTCAGATCGGAAAGTCATGGGTTCGCTCCCTGGAGAAGCCGGACTTTTTTCAAAAAGGACCTTGGCTCCCAGGTGGACCCAGCCTTGAGTGAGTACCGGGTGCAGTCCCGGGAAGTAAAGGCGACCAACTTGATGCTGACAACATCACCCATCTTATTCCGATTGGTGTATAAAATGTAGGTCTAGCCCTATATACCATATAAGCTTAAAAGGTGTTAAAAGGGTCCTTTACTTTTTACTTCTTTTAAATATGTCTGGTTCCAGGGAACATAAAGAGTTTATGCATCTGTACCTAGCTGGCAACCACCCACAGCTGACCACAGAAAGAATCACAGACAGCGATTGCTTGGTCTTGTTGAAGACACTGAAGACCAATCGGTTTGTCCGGAGTATTGACCTACGATATAATGTGATCACAGATAAGGGAGCTATAACTCTGGGAAAGCTTTTAGAGGTAAACTTCTTCATATTCTTATGTGTTTGTCTTTATAAGGTTGGTTGGCTGTTTGTGTTGTGGCTTATAGCTTGACTGCAGTTTCATACTAAAAATGTCTCTAATATCCTCTGTCCATCTTTCCTGCTGGTTGACACATGTTCTTTCTTCCAGAAACGGTATCTTTAATTATTATTATTCCTCATCTACTGCACTGTTTGATACGGTCAAAGCATTTGTTTTACCTGATCAATGAATTCTTCTTCTTCTTCTGCTTTTCTAACCCCCAATGGAGCATAGGCCCTCAAACAACTCATGCCAAATCATTCTGTCTTTTGCTTTCGCATGCAGCTCTTCCCCATGTCCTTCTCCATCTTTTTAACTCTTTAGCTCCCTTCTTCGTGTGTTTTTTGGTTTTCCTTTATTTCTCTACCCCTGTGGGTTCCAGTGCAAAGACATTCTAATTATATTGTTCTCAGGTTTTCCCAATGGATCAATTCATTACATATAGTCTAAAAATTAGATATATAATTGTGTGGGTTTTTAATACGCTGTTGAAGATTTTCTAACCACAATGTTGTTTTTATCTTTCATGACTGTGTTTTATTTGAAAGCAGACTAGCTTTACTTTGTGTCTGGGTTTATGTTTTCCAGATTTTTTGTTTTGTTTTTGTTTATGTGAGCCAGATTTCTCTCATTGAAGAATAACAGTATTTATCTTCTTTCTGATCTACAGTATTCTACAAATTATTTATAATATTTAAGTTTCAAACCTTTTTGTCCATCATTTGTGAAATGGTGCTTAGCTTGCTTTCAAATGTTACTTTCATCTGTTTTCTGGTATACACTAAAAGCTGTTCTTTTTCTTATACTCCATGTTGTTGGTGTTGGTAATCAAGTATATCCACAGCCTTCTGTCTCATGTCTTCTTCTTATTGTCCATGCCATGTGAAATTGGTAGCCAAGTCTTTCCACAATATTCTATCTCATGTATTTCCAATTATTTCAGACACAGATAATCTTCCATGCCCTGATGTCAAACTGTCCACCATCTTTTCTTGGTCTTCCTCTGCCTCTACCCGCCTTCCAGTTTTCTTCTTTTCATGACGTCACCAAAGTATGTCTCTTTCTGATGTGGGCAGTCAGTTCTCTTCATGAATCAATTTCTGTCAAGACATCTTCATTTTACTTTTAATGCTGTTGAGCTTCTGCATTGCTCTGACCATTCCCCTTCCAATGTTTATTGAACAGACTCTATTGTTACTGTGGGAAAAAAAGTATTTAAAGTCAGTGACATTTTCTTTATTGTTGACTGTAAATGTTGGTGGACGCAGTTTTTTTTCTTGTTGTTTTTTTTTTTTCTTTTGTTTGCTTTTGTTTTACATTTTGAATATGTGATTGATCTTCACTTCACTGTGTACAATGGACCCTTACAGTATTTTTATTTTTTTATTTTAACTGAGGCTAGAAAAATTAATTGTTGATGATCAAAAAGGACAAAGAATGTAAGAGAAGAAGGAACATAAAGAGGTGGAGACTAGCAGCCGCTGCTAAAACAAGAGTATTGGCAAAAAAGGAGGGAAATACTCAACTGCAACTAACCCTAACCCTAAACCCTAAGCCCTAAACCCTAAACCCTAAGCTCTAAACCCTAAACCTAAACCCTAAACCCTAACCTTAACCCTAATGGAGACTTCCATTTTAGACTGTCCTGAGTGGATAACTTGTGTACTATGGACCCTTAATTTTTATTTTTTTTATTTTTATTTCAACTGAGTACAGAAACAATTAATTGTTGATGATCAAAAGGGACAAAGGATGAAAAAGAAGACACATAAAGAGATGGAGATTAGCAGCCGCTGCTAACACAAGAGTATTGGCAGAAAAGGAGGGAACTACTCAACTGCAACTTTTGGCTGTACTGCATCAGTAATACTGACACTCCTCGCATCACTATCGTATCTTCTGCTTCTTCTTCACTTCCTCTTGTTCCGCTTCGGGTGTCGAGTTAAATCTGACATTCTTTTTCTTGCTGTTCTGACTGCCTCAAACATAGTTGTTCTTTATTAATATCCTACCCCAGATGATGTCACAGGACAGTCCAACATTTTAGAGGGTGGTAAGACTGGGTTTCCCTTCTTTCTTATGCTTTTAATGACCCCAAAATACCTAGAACTGGCCCTAATCTCAACCCACCTACATCCCACGAGAGAGTGCAGCCTAGGTCCCAAGAATGCATGCGGCCTAGGTCCCACGACTGGTTGCAGTCTATCTACTACCCCCTGAAATATTAGACTGTCCCGTGACCTGTGGATTTTCCCTGTTTGGGGTAGGATAAAAATATAGCACCCAAACATAGTCACATGGTTCTACTTAAGAGTTTCTCTGATGTTATCTTTCCATTTGTTTTTGGTCTACCTCTTGCTCTACATTCCCTGCCTCCAGTGTTGTCATAAAGTGTTTTCTCTAAAGGGGCAAACCATTTGAATTGCTGTCTTTGTATGTAGTTTAGAATCGGTTCTGTGCCGATTGTTCTTTTACGTAATACATCAGTGCTATAGTCAGTAACTGTGCCTCAAATTTAGGGCAACAAAAGCATCGAAGAGATCAACATCATGTGCAACGATTTTGGACCAGATGGGGGGACAGCACTGGCCAGATGTTTGCATGTGAGTGTTACACCCTTGAATTTTGTTTGTTAGTACAGAATTTAGACTGTGAAGGGAAAGTGTAAATATGGTTTGTTAATATGGAATTTAGAGTCTACAGGAAATGTGTGAATTAGTTCGTTAATACAACATAAAGTTTGTGGGTCTGTGAAGGTAACATGTGAATTAGTTTGTCAATGCAACATAAAGTTTGTGGGTATGTGAAGGTAACATGTGAATTAGTTTGTTATTGCAACATAAAGTTTGTGGGTCTGTGAAGGTAACATGTGAATTAGTTTGTCAATGCAACATAAAGTTTGTGGGTATGTGAAGGTAACATGTGAATTAGTTTGTTATTGCAACATAAAGTTTGTGGGTCTGTGAAGGTAACATGTGGATTGGTTTGTTAAAACTGAATAAATAGTGTTGATATATGTATATATTATATATACAGACCATCATTTATCATCAGGTTAGTCAGTTTGAGGACTAGTTTTGAAGTGATCTGAACATTCCACAATATGTAATTTTCCCATCCATTGTATGTTCTGTGTTACTATGTCCATCTTTCCTCTTCTAATTTAGCCTGTTTTATATTTATTTCCATCTTCCCTCTTCTGGTTTCATCTGTTTCATTATTCTTTCCATCTTCACACTACTAAAAAAAAAAACCACTAGAAAGCTATGATCCCTAAGAGATTTGGATTGCACGAGAGTGTAGAAGACAAAAGAATCTTGATAGTCTTTAGCTACGATCCAGAAACAAATCCACATTGATTTGTGCTTTTGGAGATGGCAAGACTGAGATATGGAGAAGCATTGGCTACACCAAATGGTAAATTACTACATGATTATAATGATGATGGTGGTGATGATTATGATAATAATGATGATAATGATTATACTGATGATGATATGATGTTAACTCTTTGAGTCCCAGTGGGTTTAGCATCACAGGCCCAGGGGGTAGTAAAGAGAGTCATAAAATCGGTGCATCATGCGTTCAATGGGTTTCTAGGTAGGAACCTATGAACGTATGATGGGTTTCTTGGGATTCAAAGAGTTAATGAGGATTGGGATTGCGAAGATGATGATGATGGTGATGATGAGGATTAGGATGATGATGATTCTGAGGAAGCTGATGATGGTGGGAGGTAGTGGTGATGATAGTGATAAAGATGATGGATTTCTGGTGGTGATGATAGTCATATTGGTGATGATGATGACGATAATGATCATGATGATGATGATAAAAGATATAAGGCATGTCTAAAAACGCTAAGGAAGGCAATCTAAAACCGTATTAACATTGCAGGTAAACACCACGTTGAAGGTCCTGCGACTCAACGGAAACAAAATTGGCAACAAAGGAGGCATGAGTTTTGCCCAGGCTCTACAAGTTAACAGAACGCTGGAGAGTTTGGATATCGGAGATGCTGATCTGGTGGGTGTCTTCTACATGTATCCTGTTTATCCTCATTAGATCCATTATTTACCACTGTCATGTCGGTGTGTAGGAAATAAGCAGGCAGATAGACTGGACGGTTCTGCACCACTTGGTGGTGAACTGATGTATGGCAAGCTGGATGTTGTGAGGGTCCTTTTGGAACTAATGAACAGTGCCAAGGCACATATAGATCATTACGGTCTGAGGAGGATGGCACTGCGAGGAGTTAAAGGGGATCTCGCCGACGCTCGACACTCAGGGGAAAGGCGAGACGGATATGCAATCAGACAGTTACTGGTATCATCGAAAGTTTAACTCTTCGCTTGCTGCTGAGGATGGGGACGGAGTGCTTATGAGGGTGTCCTGAGTGCTGTGATGTTGATTCAATATAAATAGTGTTAATAAATATAAATATGACTTACAAGTTCAACTTATGAACTAAACTGTTATAAGTCAAAGAGACATTATATATATATATATATATATATATATATATATATATATATATATATATATATATATATATATATATATATATATATATATATATATATATATATATATATATATATCATCATCACCATCATGTAGCAGGCCCTTTGCCGAACATCGCTCTCATCACAGTCTGCCTGAAAGAAACTTGGTCTCTCGCCAGCTCTCCCGCCTTGTGTATTTTCATATTTTTCCAATCCGTCGTGGCACTTGATGTGACCAAAATATTTCATCTTCAGAGATAGGATGCTGTTTATTAGCCAATCATCCTTGATGTTCAGATCTTTCAAGATGTCAGTTTTTCTCCTCTTCTTTGTCTAAGATATTCTGAAAATCTTTGTATAGCATTTCAGCTCAAAAGCCCCTATTCTCTTTCTCAAGGACTGGGAGATAGTCCACGACTCACATCCGTATGTTGCTACAGGGGAGATGCATGCTCTCAAAATTCTAATTTTGAAATATAAGTATAAAATTCACTGCGCCATTTTGTAGTCTGACATCAGTTTAATTTGGTGTTTATTTCAGACCATTGAGTGCCTGATTGCTCTGGCGACTGTACTCAGAGAGAACAGATCCTTAAAAGCTCTCAACGTCAACAGGCCCATTCTATGGACTGTATCTGAGGAGCCTACTGACCACTTCACTCGGATGATTAAGGTAGTTATGGCCCCCTTCACTTCTTGCAAACCCCACACCCACACCACCCACAGTCTGTGTCCCGCCAACCTGACAGTTGTAGAAGTTGTGGTCCCAGTGACTCAGAGAGTTGAACTGGACAGATCAGTCGGTAGAGATGGCACAATGTCAGATATAATAATAGGTTGCCTTGTAGGTAGTGAGAATAAGGGATGACTCTCCTTGTTGGGTGGGGTACTGTTTAGTCAGGAGGGGGGGGGGGGGTGTTGTTCTAGACTCTTGTAGTTGTTGTAAGCTCACTGATGAATGCATCAGTCAAACCATTTCTTTGTTGCTGTTTTTCCATTCACCCATTGACTTGAATGTCATCCCGGGAGGGGAGCTTTTGGTTATGATTGTGACTAAGTTATTTGCGCCATATATAATGGCTTCACATTGCTCACCACCAAGTAGCCCTGAAAAGGACTTTTTCAGTGATGATGCGATCAGCAGAGACAAACCCAGCACTGTCCCGACCGACAACAAAGTCGTCTACTGACCAGCCAATGCGCGACACATTGATTCAATATGTCCTTGTGGTGAAGAGATATAGTGTCACATGGGTTCATGCATCAGCACCAGGGCTGGTACTAGGCAAGATCTGTCTACACCTTTCCAGGGTCAGTCTTGAACAGATTCCCAGGTAGAATCATCGCCATTGTAGATAGGACTGAATTTCCTTTGAAAGAGTACATCTGCCTTAGAGACAAGGAGTCAGCTGTCTTCACACAAATAAGTCAGATCTGTAAAACAGATGTGCATGCAGGTATAGAAGTCATGGAACACGACCAAAGTGGATAAACCACCAAAACTTTCCATTGGAGTTTACAGCCTGTAAATTCCAAGAAGAAGACGAAACGTCCCTGTTTAATAGCAGACATGAAATGTCCCTGTGTTTTTCCACTCATCAACTTTCCTCACTTTAACAGCTTTTTTTGTCTTCACCCATTAGGTCAACAAAGGATTGAAAGAACTTCATCTGCAGAAGTTTAACATGCGAGACTTTGGGGCCTTTCGATTCGCAGAGAACTTGGTCTTTAACTTCACACTGACATATCTGAACTTGAACTGGTAGGGGACCACTAGCTTGCAGCATCATGGATATCATAAGTATCAGGAGACTAGCAGATATGTTTGTTGAAGTTCTGAGGTGGGCACCTGTTCCTTAAAGCTGAACCAGGTATCAACGTCAAGATCCTGGTCTAACATGTCTATAAATCAGGCCCCTGGTGTATTCTGTCTGTGGACTAGACTTCTGGCGAAATCTTTCAGACTAGGTCCATTGTGTAATCTATTCACAAACTATATCCCTGGTATAATCTATCTATACACAGACTAGGACTAGGTGTAATCTATCCACAGACTAGGACACTGGTGTAATCTATCCACAGACTAGGACACTGGTGTAATCTATCCACAGACTAGGACACTGGTGTAATCTATCCACAGACTAGGACCCTGGTGTAATCTATCCACAGACTAGGACCCTGGTGTAATCTATCCACAGACTAGGACCCTGGTGTAATCTATCCACAGACTAGGACCCTGGTGTAATCTGTCCACCGTCTGGGACCCGGTGTAATCTATCCACAGACTAGGACACTGGTGTAATCTGTCCACCGTCTGGGACCCGGTGTAATCTATCCACAGACAGAGACCCTGGTGTAATCTATCCACAGACTAGGACCCTGGTGTAATCAATCCACAGACTAGGACACTGGTGTAATCTATCCACAGACAGGGACCCTGGTGTAATCTATCCACAGACTAGGACCCTGGTGTAATCTATCCACAGACTAGGACCCTCGTGTAATCTATCCACAGACTAGGACCCTGGTGTAATCTGTCCACCGTCTGGGACCCGGTGTAATCTATCCACAGACTAGGACACTGGTGTAATCTGTCCACCGTCTGGGACCCGGTGTAATCTATCCACAGACAGAGACCCTGGTGTAATCTATCCACAGACTAGGACCCTGGTGTAATCAATCCACAGACTAGGACACTGGTGTAATCTGTCCACCGTCTGGGACCCGGTGTAATCTGTCCACCGTCTGGGACCCGGTGTAATCTATCCACAGACTAGGACACTGGTGTAATCTATCCACAGACTAGGACACTGGTGTAATCTATCCACAGACAGGGACCCTGGTGTAATCTATCCACAGACTAGGACCCTGGTGTAATCTATCCACAGACTAGGACCCTGGTGTAATCTATCCACAGACTAGGACCCTGGTGTAATCTATCCACAGACTAGGACCCTGGTGTAATCTATCCACAGACTAGGACCCTGGTGTAATCTATCCACAGACTAGGACCCTGGTGTAATCTATCCACAGACTAGGACACTGGTGTAATCTATCCACAGACAGGGACCCTGGTGTAATCTATCCACAGACTAGGACCCTGGTGTAATCTATCCACAGACTAGGACCCTGGTGTAATCTATCCACAGACTAGGACCCTGGTGTAATTATGTGTGGTATAGTGTCTAATTCACCATCTGGTAATTTACAGTGTGCACTGTCTAATACAGCATGTGTGGTGTGTCTGGTAGTCTGGTAGTCTTAGTTTCAGCTTCATAGCAAACGGGTCACCCCATCTTTGCTCCGCTCCTGTGCCAACGAAAAACACACAGAATGTTTATCACAGTATTAGAATTGCAGTTCATCATTGATGGTAGCAGAAGTCGGCAACAGATCAGCATTTGCCCACGCGATCAATTTTAATCACATACAGGCACCACAACACTGCACGACAAGCATCGCGCCATTTTCTGACTCTACAATTCACACCAACACGTTGGTCACAGTCGAAAAAACATTCCAAATGCAATCCGCAGCTCACAGGGTCACGCCATGCATTCAACTTAGAAGCTGGGCGACGAAACTATATCCAGTCTACAAATGGAGAAAAAATGCATTGACCACCGTCCGACAGAAGCAAAAAATTTGCCTATGTTTCGAACAGTGCCGCTGCCTAACGTCCATTTTGACCGGAAGTGGTGTGTCTAATTCGGCATGTGTGATATAGTGTCTAATTCACCGTCTAATAATTTACAGTGTGCACTGTCTAATACAGCATGTGTGTTGTGTCTAATTCAGTATGTAAGATATCTAAAATTAAACATGTGTGATGAAACTTATTCAGCATGTTTGATCTGTCTAATTCAGTGTTTGAATGACTAATTCATCATGTGTGATTTGACTAATTCACCATGTATTATGTGACTAATTCAATGTGTATGATGTGTCTTATTCAGAGCATGTGAATTGACTAATTCACCATGTTTAATATGACTAATTCAGCATGTGTGATGTGTCTAATTCATCATATGTGATATTACTAGTTTACTATGGGTAACTAAAGTAAAGTAAAGGACCCTTTTCTCGACCTTCGGGCGTATTAGGCATATAAGACTAGACCTATATTTTATAGACCAATCGGCACTTGGTGAGTGATGTGGTCAACATCATGCCAGCCACCTTTACTTCCCAGGACTTATTCACTATATTTGATGTGACTAATTCACCATGTTTAATATGACTAATTCAGCATGTGTGATGTGTCTAATTCATCATATGTGATATTACTAGTTTACTATGGGTAACTAAAGTAAAGTAAAGGACCCTTTTCTCGACCTTCGGGCGTATTAGGCATATAAGACTAGACCTATATTTTATAGACCAATCGGCACTTGGTGAGTGATGTGGTCAACATCATGCCAGCCACCTTTACTTCCCAGGACTTATTCACTATATTTGATGTGACTAATTCACCATGTTTAATATGACTAATTCAGCATGTGTGATGTGTTTAATTCATCATATGTGATATTACTAGTTTACTATGGGTAACTAAAGTAAAGTAAAGGACCCTTTTCTCGACCTTCGGGCGTATTAGGCATATAAGACTAGACCTATATTTTATAGACCAATCGGCACTTGGTGAGTGATGTGGTCAACATCATGCCAGCCACCTTTACTTCCCAGGACTTATTCACTATATTTGATGTGACTAATTCACCATGTGCTGACACACCAATCATAAGGTCTAATTCACTATATGCGAACTGACTAATTCACTATGTGTTTACACAGCAATCATATGGACTACTTCACTGTATGTTATGTGACTTATTCACCAAGTGTTTAGACAGCAATCATATGGACGAATTCACTATATAAGATGTGACTAATTCACCAAGTGTTCACACAGCAATCATATACACTCATTCACCATATGTGATGTGACTAATTCACCATGTGTTTACACAGCAATCACATCACCCAGGATGGAGTCAAGGAACTGTCCAAGGTGCTGAAGCTCAACACGGGATTGAAGATCCTGGACCTGGGGTACAACAGAATGGAGGATGATGGTGCCCTCTTCCTGGCAGAGGCCATTGGCTCATTCAACACTACACTGGAGTGGTGAGTCCCTAGTCCCTGCATGCATTATCTCTTTCCTCACTACTTTTGGAGTGTGTCCAAATGAAGATTTTTGACCAGGGCTGCAACAAAGTAGAAGACAAGCATTTAGTTCTTTAGAGTGGTGAGTCCCTAGTCCCTGCATGCATTATCTCTTTCCTCACTACTTTTGGAGCGTGTCCAAACGAAGATTTTTGACCAGGGCTGCAACAAAGTAGAAGACAAGCATTTAGGTCTTTAGAGTAGTGAGTCCGTTCATGTGTTTTCTGTTTCTTATCTTCTTTTGGAGTGTATCCATGTGAAGATCTTTGAAATGGGCTTCAACACAATGGAAGATGGTCGTTCATTTCTTTTGAGTGGTGAGCCTGCATGTGTTGTCTCTTTCCTCTCTACTTTTGGAGCGTGTCCAAACGAAGATTTTTGACCAGGGCTGCAACAAAGTAGAAGACAAGCATTTAGGTCTTTAGAGTAGTGAGTCCGTTCATGTGTTTTCTGTTTCTTATCTTCTTTTGGAGTGTATCCATGTGAAGATCTTTGACCTGTGCTGCAACAAAGTGGAAGATAGGCATTCATTTCTTTAGAGTGGTGAATCCCTGCATGTTTTATCTATTTCCTCTCTTCTTTTGGAGCATGTCCGTATGCAGATCTTTGAAATGGGCTTCAACACAATGGAAGATGGTCGTTCATTTCTTTTGAGTGGTGAGCCTGCATGTGTTGTCTCTTCCCTCTCTTCTTTTGGAGCATGTCCGTATGCAGATCTTTGAAATGGGCTGCAACACAATGGAAGATGGTCGTTCATTTCTTTTGAGTGGTGAGTCTGCATGTGTTGTCTCTTCCCTCTCTTCTTTTGGAGCATGTCCGTATGCAGATCTTTGAAATGGGCTGCAACACAATGGAAGATGGTCGTTCATTTCTTTTGAGTGGTGAGTCTGCATGTGTTGTCTCTTCCCTCTCTTCTTTTGGAGCATTTATGGCAGATCTTGCATGCAACATGGAAGATGGTCGTTCATTTCTTTTGAGTGGTGAGTCTGCATGTGTTGTCTCTTCCCTCTCTTCTTTTGGAGACTGCATAGACAAAAGGGCTAGATGCATGCCTACTGGCTCGAGGTCTTAGATTCAAATCTGCATCAAGATAGATTCAACCTTTTGCTCCCAGGTGGGATCCTGAAATGGCTTCCAAAAATCTCCTTGGTTTGCCGACAATTTTTGCCGTGACTGAAGTATTGATGAACATGATTGGTTGGATTTATTGTTACACACCATAATGGTTTGGAAAACATGGGAATTTTGGAAGAGGCAGTCAGAGGTCGACCAGAATGACACTGGATACAGAATACCAAGCACACCTTAGGCATAAATGATCATGAGGTGGGAAAGGTGCCAGAAAACGGATTGGCCTTCTTGTGTACCTTGATGAAGTGACATCCAGCAACAGTTTTTTTGAAGATGCAAATACTATATTTTCTGTGTATAAAGCACCCCTAATTTGTTAACCCTAAATTAAGAGATGTATAAGATGACCCAAAAGTTGAAACCTAATTTCCAAAAACCTGTTGTCTTATGCACAGAAAAATATGTTACCTCAGTGTAGCATAGTAATTAAACAGTGATACCCTGTTCAACCCATCTGAGGTGGTATGTCCATACTATGTATACTAATTTAAGCATCAGTATCCTGTTCAGTCCATCTGAGTTAATATGTCAGTGTATATAATATATGCTAATGTATTCATGTGTATGCAACCACATGATAGTATTGTATTGCCAGGTAATTTCATTTATGCCAGAGTTTCCTAATGTTGTGAAATAGGTGATCGTTGGACTAATAACCAAGAGTCTAGGGATGTATGGAAACTCAAGGCTTACGTGATTCAGGTGCTAGCAAAACCATTGAAACATCAGTAATATGCTTTATTATGCACACCATTCAACAAAAATATGATGATAAAGGATATGTCAATAGCCTCTCATCGTTGTCATTCACTACATAAAACACTCGTACAATAGTTACAAACCGCACGATAACAAGTCCTTGCTGCAGTTCTGACACTGCCATCATGGGAACATTCTTACACGAGTTGAATAACTCTGAACAGTAAACCGGCACAAAGTCTGAACAATTCGACCAACCTCTACAACTTGGACAGTAACTTGTAATGGCTACACAGAACGACACAAGCAGAACACTGGTTAAGTCTACCTCTGAGCAGTTTTTGCTTGTTCTTAGTCGGTACTCATTCAGTCCATGCAAATTACTTTTGGCACTCTCAGTGCAGTTCTCATGGACTACAAGTTAAGGAGACCCAGCCTTGATTGGGTACCAGGTACATTTTGGGGAAGTAAAGGGGGCCAACGTGATGCTGACCCCATCACCCGCCAAGTGCCGTTTGGTCTATAAAATATGTCTAGCCCTATATGCCCATTACGCCAAAATGCGTGGAAAAAGATACTGTACTTTACTTACAAGATAATGCAACCTTCCCCACGTCTAAGCTAGTATTCTGAACTCTTGCCCCTCACTTTACTTTGTTTTTTTGTTTGTTTATTCGACGGATCAACATCAAATCACCTAATATTCATGCTAATTATTAATCATGAGATATTAATATTCACACATTCATGTTCCAATTCCACTCATTCTATTATTACCCTGTTTCTTTCAATATTTATGTGCATAAAAGTGACACACAACACTTATTTAAAAAAAATATTTTTTTTTGTTGTTGCAGTCTAAACATTGTTTCCAACAACATTGGACCAGTGGGACTATGTGCAATGGCTAATGCACTCAATCACAATTCAACTCTGACCTCTCTCTACATTTGGGGTAACCATTTTGATGACTCTGTGTGCACAGTGAGTATCATTTCTTTAAAGTTACAATTTTGCAACATGCTTCAATTAGTTTTCAATTATCCTATTGAACTGTGCACAAAAAATTTGACAAAGGAGTAAAGGAAAAAAAATGATATACACAAAAGAAAAACCAGATGTTTGTCGGGAGCTTTTCTCAACACAAAACGCAACAACATTAAGGGGCAGAGTTGCCGTTGTAGTCTGTGTCGAGCTAAACTGAGTTGAGTTGGACTGAGCTGATATCCCAGCACTTGAGATATTCCTCCAGAAATGAGGTCACTGATTGTGTCAGTAGCTGTCTCATAAAGTTCCAGCCAGATCCAGTGGTCATTCTCTACAGCACCATTTTTTTCAGACAGCATTGATCTACTTGCAGCAGTTGCTCTGGTGTTGGCGGCTGGACGCCCGCCTGCGGATTGGAAGGTCATAGGTTCGCGTCCTGACGGAACCATACTTTTTTTTTTTAATGATTTTGACTCCCAGGTCGACCCAGCCTTGAGTGGGTATCAGGAGCAGTCCTGTGAAGCAAAGGCAGCTGATGTTAAGCTGACCAGCTGACCATATCACCCACCAAGTGCCGATTGGTCTATAAAACTATAGGTGAAGCCCTATATTCCGAGGATCATATATTTATATATATTGATCTACTTGCCTTTTTGCATTGCTCCCAGTGGGCTTAAACCGCATCTAGCATCTCATGCATGAATTGACCACCCAGTGACGCAAAAGCAAGCAAATCTTTCTGCCTGTTTATTTCCCAACACACCTGCATTTCCTGGAGAAAACTTCAAGCAGACTAGCTACCAGAAACATCTGAAGCGATGCCTGCTATTTAGTTCAGAACACCTTCTTTATGTTCACTGTCTGTAAACTCTACTATAAAGTTCTGGTTGTTCATCAGCATCTGGACCTTAGTCTTATTCCAGAATTTAAGTTTTGCTTGCACATCTGTTTTACAGATCTGGCTTCTTTGTAAACACTGTTGGTTCCTCGTCTCTCAGGCAGATGCACTTCAATTTTGAAGGACAGATCCCCATTAAGTCAACTTTTACAGCGGGCTGGTTTGGAGGGCAGCGAGTCTATTCCCCCAACCTCCTCAGTAATGCCAACATGGTATGACTTTCTCCACCTTTCTTAGCATAGTTTCTGAATCACGCCAATATCATCCAAGACGGATAACAGTAAAGTTTCTTAAAGGGTAACATAGTTTAGTTTTGGCTAACATGATTACATAACCTTGGAGTTAGGCCTGGTGAAGCATGTCAGTACCATTTGTGAGGTCAAGATATTGTAACCAGTTTCCCATGGGAACAATCAGTAGAAGTGACTTGGGGGGGGGGGGGGGGGGGGGCTGCATTAGAGGGCTGAGCACACACAGAAATGCCCTATGTGCGGGTGACGTCAATTGGACAAGACACTAGGCTACAGCCATTTTTTTTTAAATGCCATCCTGTTTTCATTATCACCATCTGCTAGATTAGACATTGCCAACACACCAGCTGCAGGTAATTTGGCAGCAGACCACCTTACATTAATTTTGACAGCTGTAGAAAGTGTGCAGTGTGCATTCAGACGTTTCAAGCAATGGTCTTACTACCAACCCTCTTCAATATTCAGCTCTTGAAGTATGGAATTGTTTTCTTTACCCAAGATATTAGAACTGCTGCATAACATTCTTTCCCAAGATAATTTATGCGCTGTTCCACTTGTTTAGTAAGTGTCCAGGTCTCACAGGCGTATGTTGCAAACTCAATTCTAGTTCTGTAAATTGACTGAATAAGAATCATATACAACCCAACCAAAAATTCTAGGGTTAGTTCTGCAATTTGCCAAACAGGGTATTTAACTAATTGTAACCTTTTTCCAGCAAAAAATTAAAACCACTCATTGTTTTTTAGGCCTTTGCAGAACATCTCCATACTGAACGCCTCTTAGAGCAGAACTGTGATATCAGCTCGTACGTTGTGGATGGAAAACTCTACCTGTGCCAATCTGGATATATCATCCGTCGTCATTATTACTACGCTCCCATTTATGGAGATGACGTGCCTGAATGGCAGATTCGAGGAGAGTTTCACAGAAGCACGGTACATCATGTGGAAATTATACAAGATATAAACTGAATTTTTGAACATTCCAGATTTTGTTTTGTTGCTATTTCCGCATGTGTAAGTACAAGTTGATACAGTTGCCTGATTGCAAGGATATCATTAAATAAAATATCATGATTATCTTTGTAAAATTATTGTATGTTTGGTTTTATTTATTTGCAATTAATGAAGTTTGTATCCATGTTATTTCTTCTTCTTCTTATAGTTAATTATTTGGGTTGTTGTTAATCATGTCTATTCACAGCCTTCTTTCTTATGCATTGTCAATCAGTTCTGACACAGATGGTCTTCCATACCATGATCTCAAACTGTCCAGCGTCTTCTCTATATGTCTCCCTCTGCCTCTACCCCCACCAACTTTCCCACCATCTAGATGTACTTCAGTTTTCTTCTCCTGACATGATCTAAGTTAGGTAGATTGTCTCCCATCTAAGTTAGGTAGATTGTCTCCCATCTAAGTTAGGTAGATTGTCTCCCATCTAAGTTAGGTAGATTGTCTCCCATCTAAGTTAGGTAGATTGTCTCCTATCTAAGTAAGGTATATTGTCTTCCCCCTGATGTGGGCAAGACATTCTAACCCCACACATCCATCAGCTAATAACACTCTGCTGGCAAGAGGGAGAGGTTCCGCAAGATTTCAAAGATGCAAACATCATAACTATGTACAAGAACAAGGGTGATCGGAGTGACTGCAATAACTACAGGGGAATATCACTGCCATGTACTGTTGGAAATGTGCTTGGGAGAATTGTTCTGCGAAGACTCCAGATCCTGGGGGATCGCGTTTACCCAGAGTCCCAGTGTGGCTTTCGTGGGAACCAATTTACCACTGATATGATATTTTCGTTACGATAGTTGCAGGAAAAATTCCGCGAACAAAATCAACCACTGTATGTTGCTTTTATTGATCTTACCAAGGCATTTGATTTGGTTACTCGAAAAAGTCTTTTCAACGCACTGAAGAAGATTGGGTGTCCACCTACTCTACTGAGTATTATTAAGTCGTTCCACACAGGTATGAAAGGTACAATCATCTTTAATGGTGTCACATCGGAGTTTTTAATCAAAAATGGAGCGAAGCAGGGGTGTGTACTTGCTCCTACCCTCTTTGGAATATACTTCTCACTTCTTTTGACACATGGCTTTCGAGATCAGGTGGGTGGTATTTTGATTCATTCTCGATCTGACGGCAGCCTTTTTTAATGCTCGCAGGCTGAAGGCCAAAACCAGGATAAGGAAGGTACTTATCAGAGAGCTGCTGTTTGCAGATGATGCTGCAATAACCACCCACTCGGAAGAGGAGCTGCACTGTTTACTATCTGCCTTTGCTGATGCGTGCTGTGAATTTGGACAATAGTCAGCAAAAAGAAGACAAAGGTTATGGTGCAAGGTGTCAATGACAGACCTACAGTCTACATTGACGGTGAAGTGTTTGAAACAGTAGACAATTTTACTTATCTGGGTTCTACAGTGAGAAGTAAACTATGGCTGGACCAAGAAATCAACATCAGGCTAGGTAAGGCAGCAAAAACAATGAGCAGATTGACAGAGAGTTTGGGAGAACAGAAAGCTCACAGTGAAAACAAAAACACTTGTCTATCAGACTTGTGTTCTCAGCACTCTGTTTTATGGCAGTGAAACTTGGTCAACCTACCTGCACCAAGAGAGACGGCCTAATAGCTTTCACATGCGATGCCTAAGAAGAATACTTGGCATTAAGTGGCAGGACAAAATCACAAACACTGAGGTACTGGAAAGAGCAGGTACTACAACAGTCTTTTCCATGCTCAGTCTACGAAGGCTCTTTTGGCTGGGTCACACCTGGAGAATGGAGGATGGCAGAGTCCCTAAGGACATCCTTTATGGTGAATTAAAGACAGGAAGAAGATGTCAAGGCCGACCTCAACTACGCTATAAAGATGTGTGCAAGCGGGACATAAATGATACAGGTATTGAGGCGAACTCCTGGGAACAAAATGCCATTGTTGTGTGGAAAGGGCATCTCAGGAAGGGAGTGAGACTGAAGGAAGAAATGATTGCAGAAAGGATGAGGGCCGAGCATCTGAAAAGAAACGGATTAAACACAAATGTTGTTATCAATGGTCCTGAAATCCCATGCTGTCATTGTGGAAGACTTTTCTTGACAAGGGCGGGTCTTGCTAGTCACACTCGCCATCGCCATGGGCTGTGAGTCCCATGTCTCCTCATAGCACAATATAACACTGTCATCTGAAAAGACGGAAAGGTGCCAATAAATGATGATGTGGGGGGCAACCAGTTCTCATTGTGTCAGTTTCCTTCAAGACATCTTCATTACTCATTTTATCTGTCTAGGGTATTCCATTTACTCTGTAAGTTATTTACACCAGACAAAACCATATATAGTCCAGTTTGGACCCTTGAAAGGGTGATTGGTTTCTTGTCTTTGTAAAATTGTTCATAGGTGGTTAGTTTTCTCACTACAGCACTTAGTTAATTCCCATAAGTGTCCTGTCCCCATTTTCAGCAGCAAGTGAAGAGTTCCACTTCTGATGGTACCAGTAGCAGTCTGATTGTATATCTGTCTTTCTTTCCCAGCGTTGAGTTTTGGCCAGATCCCCTAGTCACTCTCCCAAGGCACGATTCTTTTCATTCCTTGATGATCTATTTGTGCTTCTGCACTGTTGACTCCCTCCCATATCTAGCTTGTCCAGAAGTTTACCACTAAGTGGTTCACAACCAGCAAATCTGTTTGCTTGTTCATTTCCCAAGACACCTCAATACCCTGGAGAAATGCCCTGGAGAAATGCCTTGGAGAAATGCCCTGGAGAAATGTCCTGGAGAAATGCCCTGGAGAAATACCCTGGAGAAATGCCCTGGAGAAATACCCTGGAGAAATACCCTGGAGAAATGCCCTGGAGAAATACCCTGGAGAAATGCCCTGGAGAAATACCCTGGAGAAATACCCTGGAGAAATACCCTGGAGAAATACCCTGGAGAAATGCCCTGGAGAAATACGCTGGAGAAATGTCCTGGAGAAATGCCCTGGAGAAATACACTGGAGAAATACCCTGGAGAAATGCCCTGGAGAAATACCCTGGAGAAATACCCTGGAGAAATGCCCTGGAGAAATGCCCTGGAGAAATACCCTGGAGAAATACCCTGGAGAAATACCCTGGAGAAATGCCCTGGAGAAATACCCTGGAGAAATGCCCTGGAGAAATGCCCTGGAGAAATGTCCTGGAGAAATGCCCTGGAGAAATACCCTGGAGAAATGCCCTGGAGAAATACCCTGGAGAAATGTCCTGGAGAAATACCCTGGAGACATGTCCTGGAGAAAATATACAAAGGACACTAACTACCCGGAACCTTTAAAGCTATGCTTGCTACCCTACACAGAGGATATGCTTTCAACTTTCTCAGTGTACTTTGTGAGTCTGTTAAATTATGAGATGTGTGTGCAACAGGTTCTAAAGCCAACAGAAGGCCGCAAACTAGATGTTGTCATATCATATACCAGGCTCTGTTATCCATCAGCTTTGACTAAAAACCCCATGTACTTCTTCTGCTTCTCTGCACAGAGCCGTCTGCACAAATAATCACATTACCATGATGTTCTATTTGACAGGCTACTGTAAACATTGTGAGAACCTGAAGAAACAGAGAAATATGTCACTCATATATTCCAGACAGTGAACTGTATGATTGATTGGCACCTTTCTGTCTTTCCAGGCGATAGTGTTATATTGCACTATGAGGAGGCATGGGACTGACAGCCCATGGCGATGGCGAGTGTGACTAGCAAAACCCACTCCCCATTAAGAAAAGTATTCCACAAATTTAGCATGGGATTTTGGATCCATTGTGGTCAACGTTTGTGTTTATCTGTATGTATGAAAAACAGACAGACATATATTGATCGGCATAAAAAGAAGCAGAACGTTAGGGGGGCACATTGGACAACATAAAAATGCAATGCTATATTTACGATGCTGGGAATCGAACCTGTCACTTTCAAGTTTCTTTCTTTTTTCTCTTTTTTCTAAATGTACAATATATCTTTTTTGGTTCTTCTTACTTTGGAGGAAAACATTGCTTGGAATTGAATGATTGTGTTGCTGTTGCTTATTTGTGGGTTCTTATTAGTTTTAAAAACTGTGAATATGTTACTAGTTTGATAAAACTGAGATGAAGTGAATGCCAGTTAAATCTTCACTTTGAGATGGGGTGAACATCACCGACCAAACGTTTATTGGGAGAGATGGGTACTATGAAGAGATTTTCACTTTGAGACCAGATGGGCATCACCAAATGGATCTTTAATTTGAGAGGGATGAGCACCGTCAAATCAATTGTTTTACTTAGGAAATGAGCAATGTCAAATAAAGTCTTTACTTAGAGAGGATAACGGTACTGTTAAGTAGGTCGTAACATACAGAAGAGATTAGCACCATAAAATAGATCTTTGCTTATAGAAGAGATGGGTATGATATGTAGATTACCAACAGATAGACCTTTACATAGAAAAGAGATTGGTTCTGTTAAGCTGATTATAACTTAGAGAAGAGATCAGTTCTATTGTTGTGCCAGGGTGCTCTGGTGTTAGAGGAAGCGAACGAGCAGAGTGGCTTGCTGGCAGGGCCACTATAAGCACAGGAAAAGTACTCAGCGATGTTGTTCTCAATGCTTTCGATGAAGCAGGTGAGTATCGGATTCAGGAGCTAGAGAGTCAAGTTAAATAGATGGAAGGTGCTGCATGAGATGGCAAAGGATAGAACGACTTGGCGTGAGTAGGTTGAGGGCCTGTACTTCATTAGGGGATAGAAGACAGAAGAAGATTAGCTTGACTGCACTCACACCAGTTTTAAACCAGGACTGGGTTATTAGTCGCCACACATTGGGGGAGATACAAAAGATGGCATCTGAGTGCTTATGGGCTTGTTTGTAGTGCGAGAAAGATAGCGGTCGATTAACTAACTGACTGACTAGATTGTGACTTAAACAGATGTTTGGCAGATCTGTTCTCAGAGACA